TCTGGGTTCCGAACCAGTCGGTGAAAATTTTCAGTATGTTGAAAACTACTGCTCGGCATGTCAAATATTATCATACAATTGGACGAAATAATTTTTTTTAAATTTTTAATTAATTATATTATTACATTTGATGTATCAGACCAGACATGCTTAAAAATCTTTGAACCAGTCAAGCTTGGCACTGGCTCATTGAAAATTCTCTCAACCGGTGGGGCTTTAACCTTTTGACATGTGAAACGTTCTCACTCTTCATCTCACTGTTAAAACGAGAATTATTTCATTGTGTCAGTAACACGAGCACGTAAACTTACGTTATATGTCATTGGGGAAAAGGAAACTTTTTAAAAAATCCGTACAAATAACGCGGGCACATTAAAATCTCTCTAGGGAAGAACCCGATGGAGCCTCCATATAAAATGATCCGCCTCATTCCTCAGGATTAAAATTGTCACCGAAAATTATAAATTGAAAATTCCGCAAAGCCTTGTAGAAAACCTAGCACTAGCAAGCAATGGAGTTTTGGGGTATTCCTCTGTCTCTCTCTGTAATTTTGAAAACTTCTCTCGCTCCCTGATCGTTTGATTTGTTAGGGTTTTGTTTTCTCATTACGAATTTTGCGTTTTTATTTGTAACGTTTTTGCTGTATGGTTGCCGAGAAAACTCTGGAAAATGACGGTACTAGTCTGGTTAAAATTTTATGCTGTGGGTCGGAAGTTTGTAGCGCTTGAGTCTAGGTTTTTTTTAGCCCTTTTTTTGTTTTTAAAATTATTTTTGCTGTTAGTATTTTTCTGGCTCCATGTTCTTCGTTTAGAACTTAATCCACTCTGTTTGTTTGCTGAGAAAATAAATGGAAAGTATATTTAAGTTTGATTGTTGATTTTTTAGGGTTTTGTTTACTTATGTATGGGTTTTGCGCTTTTAATTCATACATTCTTTTGCTGTTTTTTTTTTTTGATGAAGCATTCTTTTGCTGTTTGGTTGCTGAGAAAACTAGGGAAAATGGCAGGACCAGTGTGGTTAATTTTCGTAGCGCTTGACTTAGGTTTTTTAGCTTCTGTTTCTTTCTAAAATGTTTTGACAAGTATTTTTGTGGCTTCTTGTTGCTTATTTAGAACTTAATTCACTCTGTTTGTTTGCCGAGAAAATAAATGGAAAATATATTTAGTCTGAGTTTGTAAATGTTTTTTTCAGTTGCTGACATGTTTAACTCGGATTTTTGGCATGCGTTGCGTTTCTGCTCTAGCATAAGTTTTAATTTTCTTTTGTTGAGATGGTTAACGTTTAAGATTCCATGTTATTTTTCTTCATGTGGCTTCCTACTTCTTAGTTACAGTAATGCACGTGTTAATTCTTTGTACATGTTGAAGGTGCTATGGTGCTATGGTAACAAAATTATAATCATTGTATTTCGTTTTGAACCGATGCAATGTGCTTCTGGTGAATACAATTGTATGTGATATATGTTAAGGATGATTTGTTATCTGTTTCAAGTTATTGAATAGAATGTGATATCTATTCCATAATTGTTTTTGCATCGGGTTGATGTGATTCAGGAATCTCGTTTGCGTTTTTTCCCTCCCATGTTTAATTTTTATTGCAAAATAGGCATCTCTTACGTTTTTTCCCTCAATGTCCTTTTTTTCTCTTTACTTTCAAATTTGCAGTTATTAATTACTACTTAATGCGACTCAATGTCCAGGTGCTGAGGTAAAAAGTGGTCAGTCACTTGTTGTTGATCCTGGTGAAAAGCTCCTGCATCTTTCGCAGGTACTCAGCTAGCTGTAAAATTTTGTGACCGTTATTTTTTCTTTTTCTGTTTCTTTTGCCTTTAATAGGTAGCGCAAGTTTGTGTAAAAATTATTTTTATAATGCAGGCTTGTCTGGATGACCTTAAGAAAGCGAAGGGAAGCGATCCTATTTCACTCTTTGCAAAAGTTGGCGATCTGAAACTTGTTCTTGGGTTTCTTTCTGCTGAGAAATCCCCTCAATTAATGTTTGATATTGTGTTTGATGAGAAATTTGAGCTATCCCATAACTGGAAAAATGGGAGCGTCCACTTCACTGGATATAAGTCTTTGTGATATCCTTTTTTTTAATGATGTTTCATGTTAACTGGTGTGTCTTACATGTTACTTGTTCTCAGATTACTTTCTTGATCATTGAATTTTTTGTTAAATCCTTGACTGCTATGTTTTGTCTTCACTATTGTGGAGTCTGGTGAGTCACCATTCTGATATTTGGTTTTATCATAGTTCTAACTTCCAAACGCATTTGATTCTTAAGCTGTTGATCTGTTTTTTCTTCTAGATTCTGAAGAGGAGGATGCACCACCTATTAGGGCACCCACTCTGGTTGATAAGGGTAAAAGATAATGCTGCTTCATTTTTTATTACTGGGATTTGAGGCTTTTCTTCTTCTTTTTAATAACTTTATTTTGTGATTTGGAACGAGTTGGCTTGCAGGAAAAGCAAAGGTTAATGGTACTGAGGTAGCTAAGAAACCTATTAAATCTAAGCAGAAGGAAGCTAGTAGCGATGATGATGATGAATCTGATGATGAAGAGTTTGTTGGTCATCAGGTATTCACATCTTTCAATTCTGTTTGAATATCCTTTTCGATAACTGAAATATTTTACCAGATGTGAATGTCTAACGGTAATTTACCTACTGTGGTTAACTGAGAAAAGTACATCTGAAACAAACATGTTCATTGCCCAAGTTATATATAATATTGGACTTGTGTTCTGGGACGTATTATACATGTGATTTCTATGTAATTGTTTAGAAAGGTTCCCATAATCTCTGTTCTTTAGGTATATTTAGTCGCGGTATTAATCCATAACAAATATGAACACAAAAAGCTTTATTTAGGTAGAAATATAGATTCTGGGTATCGGAAACAATTATTGGGCTCTAGAGCATTCGTACTTGTGTACAGAAATTTCCCAGATGTGACTACTAGAAGTTTGGCATTTATGTCTACAACACTCTGGAGTAATCGACTTCTTGCATTTGAAACTGATTACTGAATTTTTAGAACTTTTTCTGGCTTATTACAAATTATTGTTTTAACTTTGTTGATGTGATTTTGCATGGTATTATCCAGAGACAATGTATACTGAATATATCTTCTTGCTGAGTTGTTTTATAGGCCTTGGCTGAGGGAGATAGCAGTAAAGATTTTGACAAAAGTGATGATGATTCTGACAGTGACGATGACAGTGATGACAGTGAAGAGGATGAAGAGACTCCGAAGAAGGTAATAAAGCTCCTATTATGAAGGCCTTTACTTTTTGATGTCTGACAGTGCTTATATCCCTTCTGTGTTGTTTTTGTTATCAAATTATCACTGCTAAGTAAATATATTCGTCTGTTTTGTTGTCAAGGCTGATGTTGGCAAGAAGCGACCTGCTGAGTCTTCTAAAACACCTGCTAATGACAAGAAGCCAAAGTTTGTTACTCCTGAAAAGATTGGTAAAGTTCTCTGTCTTCCGATGCTATTTTTCATTCTGTTACCATTTTAAACATTTTGGTGTATGCTGTGGATGACGCATATTACAAAGTTTTAATAAATTTAAACATGTACTTTGCCAAATTTTAACTTATAAACATTTTGTGTTGGGTGCTGTCTGTAGTATCATTTCAATTGGATATGTTATATGTTCCCTGTCACACAACGGCGATTTGAAATGGAGATGATCGTCTGACCATTATATAAGCGGAGATGTTTAATTGCCTGCTACTTGTCGGTGCAGGTAGCAAGAAAGGCAGCGTCCACACAGCAACTCCACACCCTTCAAAGCAGACTGGGAAAAAACCAGCTACGTCCGACCAGTCAAAGCAGCAGGCTCCTAAATCAGGCGGTGCATTCCATTGCCAACCCTGCAACAGGTAATTCTATTTCATTTTTTGAATAAGTTTCAGTTCTTGCTCGTGTCTGTTTATTCGTAAACGGAATTGTAATTTCTTGCCTGTTCTTCACGCAGGTCGTTTAACTCGGATGGTGCATTGCAAAGCCATACAAAGGCAAAGCACAGTGCTGCAAAGTGAAAGGCAGATTATTATCCGCCCTCTACATGGTGATTTTTTGGGATTTTGATCAGAAGAAAGAAGTTCGGTTTAGCAAGATAAACGGAGATTATTGGTTACTAACTGGTTCCGTTTTAACCAGCATGGATGAGAATTTAAGACGTTTTGATGCTTTATTTTACGTAGCTGTTGGTTGCTTTCGTTTCTTACCAAGATCTGGTCGTCTCGTGTGTAGAATTGCGGAAAACGAAATTGCAGTTCATTGAGAAAAGTACTTAAAAAAGACCCCACCTAGGCTCTAGTGCTCCCCGCTCCATTTCTTCATATTGTTGAGGTAAGAGTATTTTGCTCGTCGAATGTGACAAGAACGTCCAACTTCTTGCGTCATGTTGCATATTTTCTGAATCATGTCGAAAAATTTTGCCAATGGTTCTTCTGAATCCGCAGACAGAACACTCTAACCAGCGCGGCCCGTTTGTGGCTCCTGCGGATTCAGAAGTACACTCCAACCAGCGCAGCCGGCAACCAAGGAACGAGAACGGTATTTTCTCGTATATCATGTGTTCAAATGTCATGGTGTCTAGGTGTTCTTAACTTTCCATTAACTGAAATCCGTTTTCGGAAATTCTAAACACGAGAATAACCAATTCTTGGTAAGAAACGAAAGCAACGAACACCTATGTAAAATAACGCAACGGTTACTCATAACATCTCAAATTCGAAAACCATATAATTCAGAACAATTTTATAAGAAAATGCCTCCCATATCAACTGCAGTCAATTCTCATCCAAGCTGGTTAAAACAGAACCAGTTATTAATTACTTTTGAGACTTGATGAGACGGCGATTTTTCGATAAAAACAATAAACTGCTATTTGATTTCTTCCGAAGCAAGAATTACAATTGCACTAAAGGCCTACAGACACGCAGGGAAAAAAACTACTAGGGAGCCATATGCTACAGAAACTGGAATAAAGGAAGTAGCAGGAATAATAATATAATCACCGTCAGTCACCCGAATTAGGAAAAGCAGCAACAAAAGATCACGCTAACACTTCTAACAGCATAGGTTTGAAGAACTTAATCAAGACATCTCAGAAAATATCTTGTAATTCCAGTAAAAACATTCATGTCTCTTCACGTACACTAGGATCTTTCCTATAATAAAAACTCACCATTGTAGGCGGCAGACTCCTGCACCAAGATCGCGAAATTACCTTACCGCCTCCAAAATCCATCACATTAGAGATAATGGACATAGTTCCTGGACAACAGCCATCTTGTATACAAGTAGCACAGTAAGCTGCTTGAAATAACTGAGGCTTGATCTTGGAAGCAGGAAGATTAATTTTGTATCTAACGTGCTACTGCTGCTGCTGATGAGGATCGTCGTAGTACTGATCATTGTTCTCTGCAGAACCATTCCATTGATCATCCTGATTGTTGCTGTTATTATTGTCATCATACTTATTTCCAGAGTCCACCTGTTCCCGCTCCTTGTTCCATTGTTCGATCTTAGCCCTTCTTTCGGCACTACTTTCCCTGGCTGGAGGACTCCTCCTCCTTCCCCCAGCACCCACAGGGCTTCTACTTCTTCCTCTACGCCCAGGACTGCGGCTTCTAGGCCTCCTGCTCTTATCATTGAAACGATGATCTCTGTCATCTTCTCCTCTTCTACCGAAACCACGACCTCCATGTGGGCGCTCCTGATAACCACCACGATGATGCCTTTGAGGACTGCGGCTTCTGCTTCGACTGCGACTATGCCTTCGCTTGTTTCTCCCAAATAACCGCCTCCTCAACTCCCTAACAATTGACACAAGTATGTGCATAAACAAACAAGTCATTATGAAAATCATGCTGTTTGCAAAACAAGAGAAAAGTACCATCTCACCTGCTAATTTTCTTCAAGTGCATGAAGTTGCAGTAGCCACCTCGATTGCATACATTTTCTTCATACTGCCTACAAGTAGCTTCACGAAAATCCGTCACGGGGGAAAAGTCGACGATGATGGGACGCCCTAGAATGTTTAACATTCATCATATTACCAAAACGTTAGTAACTGCATGATAGCAGTAGTTCCACTAATACTAATAGTACTATCATTGTAATGAAAGAAAAACAATGAAAAAGATCAGAGAACAATAAGAGTGCCACCACCACCGGCCGACAAGAAAATTTAAAACTCTCCAGATTCATACATATACAATTCAAAATAACTCAAATTGAATGGAATCCTACCAATATATTCAATGCTGAAGGATAAAGCTTCATTACCTTAACTTGCAAATGGTTGTAATGATTAACAGTTTTAGAAGTTACTGAGGAATTAAATACGTTTGCTTTCATTTAATGGTCCAACAACTACACGACAACCATGCAGTCATTTCTACAACCATTATGTAACAACGACATTTTTATCCTTTATTTCTTCTTTAAAGTAATTTTGTGATCTACTAATAGGTAAACATTATGGTCAATGGAACGAAACTCCCCCTTTCGGCCTAGATATAAATATGAATAAAGTATGTTTGGACGAGTAGAACTAGACACATGTAAACATATAAGAACTAATCCGTCTCTATAATAGATAAGCATCAATTCAAGGTTTGTCCAATTAAAGGAAAAACAAGAGTACATCCAATATACACATATCCTTGAACAACTATGAGTTACCTGAACAAATGTAGTTCATCAAATCATAATCTAAGATGATTAAAAGACGGACCAAAGTACAATGCTTGTAGCTCAGAAAACCTAATTCGGCCGTTCCAACCCACTTGGGCTAAATTGGACATGGTCTGAAACTTTGAATCTCAATACCTAAAGACCTGAAACCAGATTTATTATTTAATCTTATCCATGGAATTGTCATACTTTATGATAATGCCAAGCCAGGAAATAATTATGCAACACCATCACATATTAAAATTTGAGCAACTCACTCAAATGATTGAAAATCTGTTACATACGTATGGTCTTCTAACAATATACAAAGAAGTTTCTTATGTGCGATTGTGTGAATGCACAATTTGCTTTCATCCTAAATCCAACAGTCTCAAGGCCAGCCCTGATAGACAGCATGCTTAAAAATTCAATCAATCGAAAATTCAAAATAAACCCAGTCCTCATTAATAGCTCGGCTCTAAGTTGGAAGTTCAGCAATAATGAGCAATAAACACTGAACTGTCATGTAGCACAATACATCCAACAGATCACAAATCAATCAAAAGGACTTTGGCAAAACATATTACAGCGGCAGAAAAAACCACCATGTTCGTAACATACCAAGATAAGAAAAAGAAGGGGAACTAACCCGCATAGAACCTCCCAGTGAGATTCTGAAGCGCAGCTTGAGCATGTTCTTCCTCCCTGAACTGAACGTACACATTACCAACCTATACACGCAAAACACAATCAATTAGTCAAACAAAAAAAAAAAACTAAAAAATTACACACAAAAAAAAAACCCTAGAAATTGAAAATTATACCATGTGGTCAGCCAAATTGTCACAGATATTCAAGCTCTCGATCTGTCCGTACTTGCTCAGCTCCTCGAACAGATCCTCATAAAAATCCTGCACTCAAAAACAAAATCCCAATTCAAGATAAAAATCCTGCACCCAAAAACAAAATCCCAATTCGAGAGAGAGAGAGAGAGAGGGAGAGAGAGAAACTGACGGACCTCGAAGTTGTCCTGGATCTTGCGGGGGTCGAGGGCTTGGCCCTGGGGGTCGACGCCCGGGTTGGTGAGCATATCGGGGCGCTGGTACATGTTGGAGAGAAGAAGGGTGGGGCTGATGCTGGGCTTGGTGTGGAGGCGGGAGCAGCGGTCTCCGTGCCGGCAAGCTCCGATCTTGAAGTAGAAGGGGCAGTTGACGCGGTCCTTCTCTGTGCCGAAGATGGATGCCAAGTGCTCCGCCATGGCTGTGAAACCTCCGAATTGTGAAGATGTCGAATTCTGCTTTGTTTTAGGGTTTTAAGTTTCACGAAACGCGCAGCGGCAGCAGTGCTATTATTGTATCTTGCATAATTGTATTCAATGTGAAGTTACATAAATTGAAGCCTTTAGCCAATTATAAACGTGAAGCAGGTTTGCCCGAGAGGTTAAGGGGGCAGACTTAAGATCTGCTGTACATAAGTACGCGTGGGTTCGAACCCCACAGCCTGCATTCTTTTTATTTTATTTTTTTTCTTTATAACTTTAAAAACCTTCTAATAAAAATTAATTTTTTTTTTTAAATGTCATATGAACTTGTACTCATTTTTCAATTTGTCATATCAACTACAATTTTAAACAATTTATAATACCAACTTTCTGAAATCATCAATTTGTCTTCTCACCTGAACTCCGTTGAGTTTTCCATCCAAAATAAGTCATGTGTGAGGCACATAGCTTGTGTTCAGGGTTATTTCTGTCATTTTAACACCCCACGTTCTTCTATTAAGTTGCATTAGATCAAAACAATTCTAGGGTGTTCATTTTAGTATGTCATGAAATCAATTTTATATGGACCTTGTAATATGAGAAACGAGTTGAGGTTTGGTGTTAGAAATGGAGTTGTAGATGCATATACGTTGCTCAAACAAAATGATCCACATGAATACCCTTGGAAGTCGAAACACAAAATTTAAGAGTTTTGCTAAAGAAAAGTAAAGAACTTGTGAAATCTTAAATGACAGAAATAATCTTGAACATAAGTCATGTGCCTCGAACATGATTTATTTTGAATGAAAAACTTAAATAAGTTAGGATGCGATGACAAATTAATGATTTCGAAAAGTTAGTATGACAAATTACTTAAAATTCTAGTTTATATAACAAATTGAAAAAAGCGTACAAGTTTATATGACGTTTCAAATCGAACTTCCAAAACATTCAAGCGTTTCGTATCAATCTCCGTCCAGATCAAACTTAAAACCATTGAAGCATATTGAACATGATGCACACACCAAACTCGAAAAACAGGAAACGATGATTTAATGCGAACGCTAAAAGAGAAGACGATCAAGTTGTACTTAAAACACAGAAATTTACTTGTAGCAAACATTAAGAAAGCAACTCAAAACAGATTACATAGTCGAACACGCTTACTCGAAAATTTCCAGTAGAGCACTGTTTTCAAGCTCTCAGAACAAAACTTACTCTGAAAGTTATTGGAAAAGGGTTTCAAGTTTTCCACATAACTAAGCCATTCTACATAAAAACTTATTCCCTAACATTGTCAAACTCCGATCTCTCATATCCCGCAAAAGCCTTGGAAGCACCTCATAATCTAATAGGGCTCAACGGGCACGCGGAACTTGGCTCCGGCATACACTGCCTCAGCACCGAGCTCCTCCTCAATTCGCAAGAGCTACATTTACAAAACATGAGATGTTCAGAAACTAAGTTGAAGAATTCAACGAACAAAGAACTAAGAACTAAGAAATTTTACGAAATCATACGAGCACAAAAGAAAAATGGTGCTAGTACAGACCTGGTTGTACTTGGCAAGACGCTCTGACCTGCAGGGAGCTCCTGTCTTGATTTGTCCCTGAAAAAAATATAAAAACTTGTGAGAAATCGAATGGAGGTTTGGAGAAAACTGAGGGATAACACAGATTTCAGATCAAATAATTACCGTAGCCAAACCAACAGCAAGATCAGCAATGAAGGTGTCCTCGGTTTCTCCACTGCGGTGGCTGGTCATCACACCCCATCCAGCTTTCTTGGACATTCTTACAGCCTCGATACTCTCGGTTACTGATCCAATTTGATTCACCTGTATTCCAAACAAGATTAAAAAGGGTTATTATTTTCATGATGGTAAAAAACACAAGCTCCAGTATTTTCGACTAAGGAGTGAGATTCCTGTTGTACCTTGAGAAGAAGAGCATTGCAAGATTTCTCCTTGATTGCCTTCTCAACTCTCTGAAAATACGAGTAGGAAGAGTAGAGATGTCAATAAAATGAGGCCATCAGAAAGAAACTTTAAACTGAATCCCCATTCTCTAGGGAGAAAGCAACAGAAGGGACAAACATCGCTTCCAAGAGATCAACCGACCTTGGGGTTGGTGACCAACAGATCATCTCCCACAATTTGTATTTTTTCTCCAACTTCAGCTGTCATCTTGGCATAGTGTTCCCAGTCATCTTGGTCAAATGGATCTTCAATTGAAACAATTGGGTACTCACTTGCAAATGACTTGTAGAGGTCCTTGAGAGCATTTCCTGAGATCTTTTGGGAACCATCATTTTTCTGTACAGACAAAAAAGAAAGTAGAAGATTAAGTTATAATTAATTCTTAATAAACTTTTTTAGAGGTCGGATAAACAAAAAGCGGCAACCCAGATTGAGAGGAGGGAATTGTAAAAAGGCGAACCTCTTCCTTGAAGTTCAGGTCATAGGTTTTATCTGATCCATAAAACTCAGATGCAGCAACATCCATTCCAATGACAACCTGAAGAGAAAACAAAAAGAAATTCCGTTAATAACTATTGCAGGGTCATAAATTTTCTTTGTTATGGAACATTAGGATTAGAAACAAACTTACTTTGCCGGTGTATCCAGCCTTCTCGATGGCTGTCTTGAGCAATTCAAGACCTTCCTTGTTCTCCTGAATTCATGTAAAAATGATGATAATTTCAGTACACAAATGTGAAAGAAATAAAAAGTAACGAGAAAACACTTCAATTGAATGATTAGGTTACATAAAACTATGGTTAACCTGGATGTTAGGAGCAAAGCCACCTTCGTCACCAACATTGGTTGCATCCTGACCGTACTTCTTTTTAATCACAGACTAGAGAACAAAAGACAGTGGTCAGTGAGAAAGTAAGATGCATAACTGAATCATACAAGCATGCTCAACAATACCAAGGACATGGATCCTGAAAATATCAGGGGAAAGTACTGGCATGATTTAGCAGATAATTCCAAAAAGAGGATTACTAAAATCATCCTCATCGCAAGGACCCTATGATGATTTTATGAATATAGAATAAGAAACAATACGTTCCCAAAAATTTCTAAACCCCTTCCCTCAAGGAAAGTTAACCCACCTTAAGGTTGTGATATACTTCCACGCCCATTTTCATGGCTTCCTTGAATGAGGAAGCTCCAATAGGAAGAATCATGAACTCCTGCATTGCAAGCTTGTTTCCTGCATGTGATCCACCGTTGATGACATTGAAAGCAGGAACGGGCAACACTAGGTTCTTGTTGCCAGCAAGATTGGCGATATGCTGCAATGAAAAGACAGCAACATTAAAATCAGATTCGTGTAACATGAAAAAGAAACAGATAAAAAAGGAAAAAGCAATTCATCCGGTCCTTTAAAACCTACATCACAACAGTGAACACTAAAATGAAAAGAAGCACAATAGATATTATTTGATCTTAAACCCTAAACCCTATACCTTGTAGAGAGGAACTTTCTTGACGCTAGCACCAGCCTTGGCGACTGCAAGAGACACGGCCAAGATGGCATTTGCACCAAGCTGAAAAACAAATTATATCCCAGTTAATTTGATTGACAACGCCTACAACCAACGATTTACACATATAGACCAAATGTAACAAGCAGAAATATATTATACCTTTTGCTTGCACCAACCCCACTCGTTGACAGTTCCATCGAGTTGTTGAACCATGAAGTTGTCAATAGCAGTCTGTTCGCTTGGGTCCTGCGCAATGCAACAAGAAACATTAGTTTACAATTATATCCGCCTGAAACAGCAATCTTAAGGTTCCAAATATTAAATTGACAAAAACAGAACACATAATCTAATAGAATGCAAGCAGATTCAACCAACCTTGCCGATCAAAGCAGGGCCAATGATTGTGTTGACATTGTTGACAGCCTACACACAACAAAAAAAGGTAATAAACCAATCACAAAAAGATCAACACTATGTTCAATCTGGGTGGTACACAAAATCAACTAACAACGAAGCGATTCCTCACCTTCGATACACCCTTTCCGAGGTAGTCTTTGCCTCCATCGCGCAACTCAAGGGCCTCGTAAACTCCTGCAAGTTATTGACAAACGATAAATTACACTTGTTTGATAAGACTATCAAGATGTATACTAGACAATAAACACGAGCCATCGGACAAGTTCCAAACATCGAAATCTTTCGAATAACACGAAAAAAGTGAGAAATCGATCAGAGAAATATACCAGTGGATGCACCACTTGGAACAGCGGCTCTAGCCAAAGTTCCATCTGACAGAATGATATCGACCTGCAACAAACACACATCCATTTTTTTTTTTTAATTTTCAATCAAATATTTATTGATCTATTTGAATATTAATTTCAACAAAATTACAGATCGCAAAATTAAATTCGAAAAAATAAAAACAAATGTTCGTATATAATCAAGCAACCATCAATCTAATCAGCTAACGCTCTTGCCTGTCGTAATCACAACCGAAACGCTTCGTTTTAACCGAATCGAATTCAAATCGATGAAAAACAAAAAGTAGAAAAGAGGATTGCGATCAGTGATTGAACAAGTAGATCGGCGACCTAGAAAGTATCGAAGAGAGAGCGAGAGAGAGAGAGGAACCTCGACGGTGGGATTGCCACGGCTGTCGAAGATCTGCCTAGCCTTGATGCTCTGGATCGTCGCCATGGATGGATGCACAGGGAGAGAGGGAGAGAGAGAGAGAGAGAGACGTGAGAGTGTGTGTGGAGAAAGTGAGATGGGAGAGAGTTTGGTGAGAGCTTTACTTGGGAGAGTAGAGGAACTTTAGTTAATTACAGCCGTCCGATTTAGGTTTAGCTGACTCATTAAGCAACTATTTATAATTGAGAAGTGTTATTAGCACTTTAAAAATCTCATTATACATTCATGTATTTTTTTCTTTTTAAATATAGAAAGTTTGAAATGTAGAATGAGATTTTTGGAGTGCCAATAACAATTCCCTTATAATTTTGTTTAGAAAAAAA